GAGTTCAATATCCGCTTAGGGGGAATGGGACAAGGCTGTTTAAGTTCCACGCTGTTGATGCGAGATGCCCCACTGGCTTTCACTTCTGAGAGGGTGGACAGATGCAATGTTTGAAACCTTAAACACTACTGTATAACAAGGTTTGAAAAGTTTAACAAAAATGGAGTGTTTCAACCATGGATGGACAGATAGGCGCACGCACGCATGCGCGCGCACACACACACACACACACACCCTGTTGTGTCTCCTGGCTGGCACACTTCAACATCTCTGCTGCTCCATGCACCAGTGTGGTCTCCAGCCAGGGGGTGCAACAGGGGGTTGTGGCCACCTGAGGCTTCACTTCCACAAGGCTGGGGGCATGGAGCGGACTCTGCGTGGCTGTGCAGGAGCTGTAGCTCCTCTATCCTGAGTGGAGTCTCTCAGTTCCAGCAGAGGGGCATAGGGTCTCCAGTCTCTGATTACAGGGACTCCTGGCCTGAGCATGGGAATGGAGGTGCTCCCTACTTCAGCGGGACATCCCAGTGTGCTAGCAGTAGTGGAGGGGAAAGGGAAGGGGAAGGCTGCAACCGTGAGGGCGTTGGGAGAATGGGCATGGGGAGGAGAACATTGCAGTGGGGAATGCTGGAAAATCAACCTATGTGTACAGATACAAGGTGGGAGCTAAATGGTACAAAATTGTACCTGTTCCCTCCAAGTACATTTTTGTCCTGCCTGAAAGCATCTTTTCCCAACTGTACATCTATATGCTAGCTGTTTGGAAATGTTTCAAATGGATATGCCTGTCTGCGCCCTGGGAGATCTCTCATCCAAAGTTGCTGAATGCTGGGATCTCACCAGCTTTCCAATACCTGTATTGCACCAGCAAAACAAGGCACCTGTATTGCATCTCAGTATCTTTGGACCACCTACAGTCTCTCCTTTTTGGAGAAAGGCACCCATGAAGAGGTCCTGGAGCAGCAGTGTTTTCTGCTTCCTTTTTGGGTTGGGTGGGTGCATCTACATGTGCCTCTTTTAAGTGGGCTTAGCCTAAAATCACCATTTTTAAGGTGCATTAAGGGCATGAGTCTACACACACGCACCCTTAATGTGCCTTAAAAATGGCCATTTAAGGCTATGTGAGTCTAAATCTGATACCTGCATAAAGCAAGTATCAAATTTAGGCATGAATAGCTAAGTTGCATTAGCACATGTAGATGTGCTAATGCGCATTAACATGGTGTACATTAATGGGTACACACCATGTTAATGCACATTAGCGCATCTGCACGTGCGCTAATGTAACTCAGCTATTCATGACTAAATTTAATGTGTCTTAATCTTAGCACGTTCATATGTAGACACGCACCTAAATTCTCTTAATGCACCTTAGGCAAAAGTGCATTAAGTTTAGGCGCATGTACATACATGTGTAGACATGCCTAGTTAGAGTAGAGTTACTTCTAGTCATTTTCCTATTGGTCTGTTGTATGGGTGAACTCCTGGGTTAGTCAGCTTGTGACAGGTTGTCTTGGCTTCCTACTCAGTCAGGATCCACGCAGCTTGCTCTCCCTGCCCTTAATGACTCAAATGGGGGAACATCTGTCTGTCTCAGACTAGGAAACACAAAATCATGATGGAAACCCTGCAGATGGTCTCCTCAGATGTAATATTCCTTTGTGAATAATATAATAGATCCAGCTGGATTCTCAAAACTTGTGCCAGAACAGCTGAAGAAGCTGGGTTAATATGGCAAAAATAACATCTTGGGGCTAGCTCGTATGTTCAGAACTGAGAGACCTGGCCAGTTTGCCCACATGCTGTGCTCAGGGGAGGAAAGGCTGTTTCAGAATTAACCACAACACTGTTTGCTCCCATTCTTTCAGCTATAAGGAAAATGCCATACGGTTGTCACAGATTCACCATGACCAGCCTGTGAAACCTCTGGACCGAGCTGTCTTCTGGATTGAATTTGTTATGAGACACAAAGGAGCAAAGCACTTGAGACCAGCAGCCCACCAGCTCACTTGGTACCAGTACCACTGCCTGGATGTCCTGGCATTCTTGCTCACCTGTGCTACAGTGACTCTTTTCATCGCTGTCAAGTGCTGCTTATTTTGCTGTAAGAAATGTGGTAGGATTGTCAGGAAGAGGAAAATGGAATAGAAGTGCCCTTCCCGTTGGCTGCTTCAGTCTCTCTTGTAAGGCCCAGATTCAGCAAGGCGCTTAAGGAAGCATGTAAGTCAGTGGGATCACTCACAGGTCTGCAATGAGGCAGGTACTGGTGCACTTGAGAAACTGAGGTCACCTTCTGGGAAGTGACATTAGGAAAGCTGGTCACTTAGCCTATATGATGTTTACAGTAACTTCCTTTTGGTTTGAGTAAAGGCAAATCTTTAGCTGAGCCACCAATCAGAAATCCTTTGGTTGATTACACAGGGCTTTATAATATATTGAATGCTGCTAGAATTTTTTTACCTTTGTCTGTATCTTTTTACAAGGATGAAACCCAAGCTGTCCTATGGCCCTTCATGGTTGCCTCCAAACGAAGGGATCACTGAAGATTCACCCACCCAGCTATCCTCAACTTATCCTGTGCCAAAATGCATCTCTAGATCTGTCCCAGGCAGTGCAGTTCCTGGAAAAATGGGCACTGCCCAGGTAGGGACTTTAGCTCAGGTGTCTTAGCAGTGGCAACACGTAGAGGGTGCATGGAGGTGCCAGTGCACCCCGACAGGCTGTGCACCCCACTTAGGTGACAGGTAGGGGGGGCAGGTAGGAGTGCCAGTGCCTCCCTGCAAACGCCAGCTGGGGAGTGAGTGTGCTGCAGCCACTTCTGGGAGGGCTGAGGCCGTGGGGAAACCCACCCCTCCCAGTCGGCAGGATTGGCTGCGGGGGGCCTCCCCCCACTGGTCGCTGACTGCTCACTGGGGGGATATGCCCCCCCTAAGGTGCCACCAGTCACCCATGTATTTTAAAACAGTGGGGGGGGCAACCTTTTTGGCAGATGTGCTACAAATTAAGCCCCAGATCCTCCTTGAATGCCACTATGATCCCCTTCCCCTGCCCTATCTGCTGCTCTGCTCCCTGCTATCATTTCCCTGACCTATCTGCCCTGACCAACTGTGCTGGCTGTCCCCTCCCCAGTCTGCTGTGTGCCACACACACACAGGTTGCCCATACCACTTGTGCTGCAGGTTGGCTACCTGTTTAAGATGCCTACCAGAAAGGCCAAGGTTTGGAGAATGAACATGCAGATACCTGAGCCTCTATCCAAGCTTCCAACTTCCTTTTGTTTCCTAAAGTACTGAGCACCCGAGACCTTTCTCTGTCCTCAGTGGGAGCTGCCTGGGGGATCAGAACTTTAATAGACAAAATATAGTTTACTGAGAGACCTCAGTGAAGATCTAGGGATTTCTCACTAGCTGAATAGAATTAGGTGCCTCACTGCTGTGGAATTTGGGCAGCCACTTCCCATAGAAACTTCTGCAAATCCCAGCCAAAGAATGCAGCCCCTGTTCTGGAAAGCCTTGGCCATAGTTCCTAGGGTGGGAATGAATGATTTCAGGAGTGGCATGGAAGTTCCTATGACAGCTCCTGTTTTCCTCTAGTGTCCCATCTTTCCCTGAGCTATGTGCTTCCTTTCTGAGCTGGGTTGCCATTTTGGTTTTCTGTGATCTGCAAAAGCTGAACTCGCCCCTGGGGCCCAGACCTTCTCTCTCCACCCTGACTAACCAGAGTATTGTCCCCACAGCCAGTTGTAGAGGCAGGTGCTGTTGAGAGACTGCAGAATTCAGAACTCCCCCAGTGTTGTGGGACGTTACCCAGCTTACCCAGCCCCTGGATGCTGGTGAACTAATTGCTAATACAAATATGGGTAGTTTGATTTCTAGTGGCAGCAGCTTCTCTTCTCAGAAGACAGGGCTTGATCCACAGCTGGCATGAATCAGCAAGGGGCCATTACAGCTGACAGAGCTATGACTGTTTATCCCACCTACGGAGTGGGCCTTTGAATGGGTTTAGTTCCAGATCTTCCCCATGGAAGATTTCCTCTGGGTTCACCTCAATGCCTTCCCAGAGTACACAGTGAAATTTCACCCTGATTTTAATGCCTAGGGCTGAAGGGACTGATTGATGGCTGAGGATTATTGCTATGGGAATTCCCATTAGGCTTGAACAGGGAGTAGGGTCCCTAGAAATGGTAGTGTTACCACCACAACCTTCAAATAAATTAAAGAACAGCTATTCTTCATCCATAGAGTGTCACCACCACAGAGGGCTCAGTAGTAAAAGTAGGCTTTTACTTGCATAGGATCTCCTCCATTTTAACTGGCGGAAGCAAGTTCTCCAAGGAAGCCTATGCAGAGAAAGATCAAACTGAAGGGCACAAGGGAAGAGGGACTTCAGGCTGAGCTACAAGGGACTTGGGTGGTGGTGGAAAGGTTCTCACCACTGCAGAACTTTATCTTTCCCTGGGGTCCTAACTTTTCCCATGGGAGGCAGAAAGCTAATCTGCAAGGCAAATGACCTTAGCCTGATGCTCTTTCTGCTCCATGCCCTGCCATTGTGCTGTCTGTCCCTCTCCCTGATCTGCCATACACCATGCACAGAGGCTTTGTGTCACTTGAGCTGCAGATTGGCCATCCCTAGATGCTACCTATCAGATGTCTCCAGCCACTTCTAGGTTAGCTAGTCTCTGCAGTAGAAGGATCAACTCACCCACTCTGGCAACTTCCAAAGACTACCATTAACTGCAGGAATTACACTGGAGGGCTTTCAAAATTATTGCATTATTGCTCAAAGTCCCCAGCTCGATAAACTGTCAGTTGTTCTGCTAACCCCCATGAAGGCAAGCCAATTTGCAAAGATGACAGTCTGGCCAGATCAAGAACTTTGGGTTTTTAGTATTATGCAGGTGCTACAATAAGCCACCATATAGCTTTTACGAGTGCCTCTAAATGTGCTTTGATTTGCATACTTGTTACATAGCTCTACTGCAAATTAGGTCTTGTGGAAGCAAACTTTTATATTGGGCTGCAGACCATGCAGCTAGGGAAACAAAGGTACTTAACTTCATTTGCTCCCTCTCTCACTTTTGATGGCTTTGAGATGACCATGACTTGAGATGCTCAGATTTTTCCTTTTAAAAACCTTAGAAGTATGGGGCTGAAGGATCTGTTTTCAAGCTACAGGCTCAGTGCTTGGCTAAAACTGTGGAACTCAGATGGCAAACTAGCAGCCAGAGGAGACATATGAAGAAAACCACAGTGGCTACACGAGCACACAGAAATTGGACAAGTCCAATAGCACTACAGTTCTGGTATCTAACTTATCTGGCCCTGTGGGATGGATCTGGAGTGCAGGGCATGGCACCTGGGCCACAGGGCTGGCAGCAGCAGCAATAGCTGGCACTATAGGCAGGTGATGCAGCTCCATAATCTGGATCCAACCCACAGGACACACTATGGACCTGGTAATTCAGCGCAGGGCAAGTGGCAAGTAAGGGCAACAAATCTGGCAGCAGGGCAAGTAATTACAGAAGCTCTGGGATTAATGGTTATTAACACTGCCACTACTTAACATGCTGCCACATTTTCATATCTGTAGGGAGCTCCATGGGCCAGTTGACACTTTGCACAATGAAAACCATGGCAGACAACACTACATATCAACGCTTTGACTGTACACTTCTACACAAGTATCATAATTAAGCTTCTAGATCCGACTGCGTGGCAAGTTTGTGCAAAAGTGTCAACCACAAGAACCTACAAAGAACCTAGTCACTTAAAGCCCATTATCTTGACCCTACCCCTACAGGAAAATCTCTGAATAGGTGCCCAGCCTGAAGGAATGCGAGAGGTTATATACACATGCAATACAATGTTTATTGAATGAACCCCTTTTCCATGGGCTGAGCTTCTGCTAACCAAATATTCATTGCCTAGTAGATTATTCTGAAGTGCTCTGTAATGAGTGTTTAACTCCTTGTGATGGTTTAATAAAACTGATTCCTATTTTTGAGGGTCAAAGTGATTGTATTTAATGCATACAGAGGTACACATTTAGTATAAAATGCAATGCTTGGATTAATGCATTTTGTCACAGGTATCAAACAATATTGCATAAGTTTTCACAGTAACCTTCAGCATATGCAGTTCTGCACAAGAGTTGAGGTCTTTGTGTGGTCCCTCAAAGTATGATGGTAGGGCTTTGTTACAGAACACATCAAAGACAGAGAAACAGATGTCAGGTTTGGTAGGTTTCTATAAATCAGGAGATAATGTTAAGAAGTAGTGAAGACAGACTACAGTACTCACATCTGAAAGCCAAGCTCCTGCTACGGAAATACATGCAAAAAAGCTTTTCCAGTAAATTTTGAAGCTGAAGCTGCTTTCACATCATTTACTACTGCAAATTCAACTGAAAATTTGTTCCATTCAAGAGCTGGAACACACAGTGGTCTCCGAAATATTATCCTGTTATCCCTGCTAGAGTATGCCAAGTATAGAAATACAGGTGAGTTTGCATACTTCAGAATGAGCATGCCCTTAAGTTTTTTGGCTATGGCAACTGTGCTACAAGGGACACTGGGGTCTGGACATCGTACAAGTAATGCAACATAGAGGCTGACCCAATGAATCAATAACGGACAGACAGATCCCATATTGAGGGCATGGTAATTACAGAGCTGTTCTAGTAAAAACTAAATGCAGAGCTGCCATCCTTTTTGACAGTTACTAGTTAGGTAGCCATTAGAACAAAGCAAAAATACTCCAATGATCCATGTGCAGCAAAGCTTATGGGTTGAACTCCTGCAGCAGAATAGGGGGTTGGGAACATGAGCCTACCCATGCCCCATTACAATTAATTTTTGTTGCTGTTGTTGTTATTCAGAAATTCCCCCCTACTCAAAAGCAAAGTATTCTTTCCAGGTGGAAGGTACCCTTTTTGAACACAAGCCTGCCCTCAGAAAACTGGTGGAAGCCAAACTAAAAGTTTCAATAGTTACCAATTTATTTTATAAAAAAAATGGTAGCAATGTAGAGTACAGCAATATTTTCTGGTTTCACACACGTGAATTGTGGACATTCCAAGCAATGTGTACATTTTGGAGAGGAGAAAGGCTAGACAAAAGGTTTGACCAAAATATTACTGAACACAGGAAGATTCTTTTAAAAAGGTTAAAAATTAGATATCAATAGTGTCTTCTTAATATTGCTTTCATTATTGAAGACTGGGAAAAAAAAACAAAACAAACACTTGACTTTACAGAGGTTAAAAAAAACGAACAGAAAAACCAGGCTGCTACAACACTGCCATACAGTCAAATCATACTTCAATATTTGCATACTTGATAGCAGCATTTTTTCCATTGAACCATGTGAAACTACATTTAAGAAAACAAAGCAAAAAAAGAATATATTATGGCAGTTATCCATCAGTATTAAAAAAACCCCAAACAAACCTAGGATGAAGTCACTAAGTAGATGAACACTTATTGAGAATGAACCAATATCTACATTCTTAACTGCTTCCCATTCTGCTCCAATAAAAACGTCAACTGTGTGCATTTTTTGGCTTTTTTTCTTCCAGTTCAAAGTTTACTGCATGCTTGGAACAAAGAGGGTCATCAATCCTTCTACACAATGAACTTGAGACAGCTGAAAATAAAATTTACTACTTGTAAACACACACAAAAAATACAAGCTTTGCTGTTGTTGTTTCAAATAACCACTGGCTCCAGAAGGATTATCTTCTATATCTGCCCCTTTCTCCTCTGTCTCTGTCCCGGTCACAAATCCTTTCTCTCTCCCTGTCCCGATCACGCCCTCTATCACGCTCTCTGTCTCTTCTGTTATCCCTGGGACGGTCACGTTCCCGTTCCCGGTCTCTCTCTCGAGGTCTGCTTCTCCGACCACTGACAACCGCTTGTGTGCGCCGCAGGAAGTCATCTACCCTCATATCATAATCATGCTGTGAAAAGGAGAACAGTTCTAGTTAGTTTGTTTTCCATTCTGACTACCCAAACCATTTCATTCACCCACATAATTAGCTAAAACTGCCTATGTACTTAGGGGCTCCTGGGAGACCAAGATCAAAAGGTAGCTGCTAATGTGGCATTCTAGCACAATTTATTGTGCGTGTTATCAGTTCTTCCCACCTGCCTTCAAAATACCATCTGATACTTTTTAATTTCTTCATTTATGGATTTGGAGCACAGCCTCAAGTGTCTGCCTAGCAAGTCTGCAGCTGACACCAAACTGGATGAATTTGCACACACTTTTGAAGTCAGGATTAAGATTTAAAAGGACCTTCATAAACCAGAAAAAGGGCTACAATTTATTGAATAGAATTCAAATGAGGACAAAGCCTTGTACTTAGGACTGCAAAGTCACAAGCACAAAACCAGACTGGGATTATTGTGGACCAGAAGCTGAATATAAGCCATCAGTGTGCTCTTGTTACAACAGCTTACTGGAGTATATTAACAGAAGTATTGCTGGCAACAGTGTGGAAATGATTCCCCTACTCTAGTCAGCACTGGTAAGACTTCACCTGCAGGGCTGTGTTCAGAATCACACTTCAAGGAAGATATGGACAAAATTAAAATTCAGGTTTATATTTTTTACTGTCCAGTTACAAATTTAATACAGACAGGGGCTTTGTGGCTCACTACCACCTAACAAAAACTTCTACCAGCCTCCCTGCACTTCATAGGAAATAACTACCTTTCCTTCTTGAATGGTCCCACTGCCCCAAACTAGATTGCTTATTATAATGCACTTTTTTCATAATGGATCCTTATAATACATCTTCACTCCTAGTTCACAGCACTCCATCCCTCTAAACACTTTGTGTTTAAATGGAAGCTTCCCCCTGATATTGAGCTCAGCCTATATCTGCCTCTCAGACCGAAGGAAGGGCATTTGGATCCCCAAAAGGTAGTGAGGAGAGCTGCTGCACAATATAGTTGGTTCAATCACAAAAAAACCCTTGACTCGTAAACAAATTAGAAAGAACCCAGGGGAAAGCAACCAAAAAAGGGGAAAAAATAAAAGGAAAGGTTAGAGGTCTAGAAAATGTGACTTGCAAGGACAGGCTGGAAGAACTGGGATTATTTAGCCTACAGGACTGAGGCGGGAATCTATTAACAGTCTTCAAATACTTGAAGGGTGTTGGGGGATCAACCTTTTTGACAGTTGTACTGCAAGGTGAGCCCTGCACATCCTCCCCAAGTGCCACCTAATACCCTTCCCTTGCCTGATCTGTTGCTCTGCTTTTTGCTCCTTGCCCTATGCTCCCTCCTCCCCAGTCTGCCCTGTGCCACTTGTAGCATGCATACCACAGGTTGGCCACCCCCATTATAAAGGGCGGTGACAGAGGGGGCAGAATAAGGAGTAACCATCTTAAACTGCAACAAGCAAAATTTAGACCGAATATAAAGGAAGAACTCTGTCACTGGGATAGTTGTTGAGCATTAGAACACATTACCTAGAGCAGGTGTTGTCAACTGAGGATGTGTGTCCCCCTGGGGGTACTTGAGAAGGACTTAGGGGGTACACACAGGCAGGTAGGGATGGAGCACCACCACGTATGATCTCGTGCTGCTGTGCAAGTGCTGCTTGCCTGGCTAGACGCAGTGAGGTAGGGGAAGCTTGCATGCAGCAGCTGCCACCGCTCCGCACTCAGCCATGTGCCACCCCCCATGGTTGGTTGCTAGGGGTACACTGACCCAAAAAGGTTGAAAACCCCTGACTTAGAGAATAAGGAACACCATCCTTGAAAGTTCTTAAAGAGATCAGACAAATGTTTGGGTGAGCTAGTTTAGACAAGGATGACCCTGCCTGGAGCAGGGGGCTGGATTAGAAAAGTAAGGTTGGAAGAGACTTCAGGATGTTATCTATGATTCTGTCTTCTCAATGTTTCACCATACAGCAGGAAGTGAAGCTCTAATTCCACTGCTAAGAGAACCAAAAGCCAGGTCCCCCAAAATTAGCTCTGATGTGTGCCTCAAGATGAACACGGTCATGTGGGATGTGGCACTGCAAACACGTTTGCAGTGCCACATACCGCACAGTTCGGTGTTCTCTGTGCTACAAGGGCGCATTGCCTGATTGTGCACTGCACCAGTTTTTTTGACACCTAGATATATGCTTAGGCAGTGCGTGCTGCTGAAAAGAGGAGCCAGGCCATCTGGAGCCATGTTCTGCTGCCAGCCAGGCTCCATGTGGCATTGCCACAGCTGCAGCCCCGGGAGGCCCCCAGGACCCCAGGTGTGCAGGACCCAGCCTTCCCTACCCTACCCAGGGCAACTTGCCATTTGTCAAAGAGCACATGGCACAGGCAATCCCTGGAGACAAGTAGCTGTGGTGCAAGTTGTGCCGCTGCTATTTGTCCCCAGGGAACCAAACATTCACGCGTCCTATCAATCTCTTCTTGTCTAGACTATTTGGGTTACTGTGCAACACTGAGCACTGCTACAACGACCCTTTTTCTACCAACAGTGAAGGGTAAATGATCAGAAATGCAGCATTACAAGCAATGACACCAACATGTCAAGGTCACACCTATAACTGAATATGGAAAGTCAAGTAGCAATTTGGGATTTTAACTCTAGGTCAGACTGGTAAGCATGGCGGATGGTGGAAAGGGTGCTTCCTATTACAACATTGGCCACTGTTTTTCCTGGGAATCTCTGAGCATATCAGGCAATACCTCAAAACCCCTGGCAGTGTGCTTGTCTTCCCTGTGCTTACCTACAGCACATAGTAGGATGTTCATGGTATTTCTGGTTTGTGCTTGTAGTTATGTGTGACAGTCTGAAGTATCTGTTTTGGGATATCCTTAGATAAACGGCTGTGAACACAGGGTACAAACTTGATGGTCCTGGAAACCACACCCCAGTCCTCAGTAAGACTGGACCCTAATCAGAAACTTCTTCAAAGGGATCAACAAAGAAAAACAGCCACTGATCTGTAGAAAGAAATGCTGGGATTTCTGTATTGATACATCTCCTAGAGGGGATTTTCAAGTCTTTTTTACCTGGATGACCAGACTTACAAAAATGCATTTAGAAGCCTTACCTTAAGGCCAAGGTTTCCAGAACCCTCATGGATTTAAGCTGCTGGCATCCCTGGAATTTCTGCTACTCCTACTTCTGCCGTACAATCTCTTTCTCCCCCCACCAGTACGTACACTTACTACTCGCTTGTCTCGGTATCTTGCTTCGTGCGGTACCGGGTGGTGTCCCGAGTAGGGAGGGTGAGCTTGAGGTGGAGGAGCATGGTGCTGATAGTAAGGGTGATGGGGAGGCTGCTCCAGACCTGGATATGGTGGCTGCAAGGAAAGTACAGCATGTTTATCAAGTGCTCCAAAGCAGAGAACAAACAGCACTTAAAAGCTAGGAAAAATGCTATCCGAGTAGATTTTTCACCTGCAGGTAGAGAATGTCTTAGAATATTTACAATGCACGGGAAGTATGCTTGGATGCACTACAAATTGTAGCAGGATCCTCGAGACATTTCCCCCCTAAACTACCAGCACCAAGTGTTTTAGGTATAGCTCCAAAGCACTGACATGTAGTATCATAATCACCTCAGCTTTCATTAATTAGTCAGTCCTATTCTGCATGTAGACAAGGATATTTTGGCATAAATGAGAGTCTTCATTGGCAAAGAATCCATTCGTTACACTGACTTGAATCAGAATAATCACAGTAAGAGCATCAAGCTTGTTCTACATGACAAAATAACCTGCTCCAGTGACAGCAGCCAAGTTTTTCTTTAAAAATTAAAAGCCACCTGACCATTTCTCCTTTCTCCCTCTTGCCCCTATCCACCTCAATTTCATTCCAACACGTCAGCAAGGTCCTTCACACAGAGGAGCACTATTTGGCTCACGGTGCAATTTCTAGCCAAACTGGATGGGATAGCTGAATTTTATGACAAGTATTTGGCTAAACCTGAGGGGGGGGAAGGGGGAAAATGGGTGTCAGTAAGTTTAGTGATGTCTGAAGAGGCATGCTCCTCTCTGCAGTCTGCCAGACCTAGTTGTTGTGATTCTCCTTCAGTTTGGGGATTTTATCTTTTTTGTGGGGGGAGGGAGAAGGGTTCCAGGGAAGCAGAACAAATCACAACACCATCTATAGCAGGCATCCCTTTCTTTCATGCAACAGCTACAATAAAGATAGCCACATATTCACAAATCTGTTACTAAAAAAGTCATACATGATGATGACATCCACAGTCAGAATACAAGGAGCTACATAACCAAAAATATGTATTCATCAGTAAGTGCAAAATATTGCCAACCACCAACCAGCAGAACAAAGAGGGGCATGTTTTGAGTAGCAAATGAGTTAACTGGATTTTGCTGGCATGTGCCCTCACCTGAGTACAGAGATAACCTAATCAAACAGCTGCTGCCACCACCATACAGCCATGGCTTTACCCAAGTTCTGATGCCAAATACACTCTGCTTCCTTAAGAAGTTTCACTACCCAAGCCAATCACCCTCCCCATGCACACAGCCTTCCAATGCACCACAGAGGCCCATTTCCTTTTTGATACATTTTGTTTTCTTGCTTGCGGGTCTGATACGAAGGCCAGTTAGTGATCTGAATACAGGGATTCAGGGCAAGGAGAGAAGGGTGTGGACATTCTTCGGCTTTATTTAAAAATAGAATTTTCCTCAAATGTTATAGCTTCCATGCACTCAAGCTGAATGGATTACTACTGTCCTAGGTCTTATGCTGTGACTGCAGCCTCTGAAATATTAACAGTACATTTATCACTCTTAGCTAAAACTTTTACGCATGCTCTCTTTATATACGTAGTTCACCCAACTCAATCTCAGGTATTTTTGCATATTCAATGTACGCAACACAGCAAAAATATGCAGATTTGAGTGAGCAGCAGGATGGGTCAGGATATAATAAACAGGTCCACAGGATTAAAAAAAAAAAAAGAAGCAGGGTCATTCAAGAGAATAACTGAAGCTAAAGAAAGTACAAACCATTCCTTGCCAGGGTGGCGGTGGTCCCATGTTGTGGAATTCCCTCACATAATCGTTGTAGGACTGAAAAGACAGACAGAAATGTTAGTGACTGCTCACAGCTCTGCAAGCACTGAACATTATGCTAAAAATAACAACCTCTCCCTCCTCCGCGCAACCAAAACAGGTGGGCACTAACTCACCCCATTTAAAAACACATCTCGGCGAACTCCTGAAAATCGTCTGTTGGGAATAAAATGCGTAAAACTAAATCCAAGTTATTCATACCAACAAGTTACTACGGCATCAAATAAAAAAATAGGAACACATCTTACCTGTCTACTTCTGGATACCTGGGATCCTTTATATACCCTGTTCAAACATCAAGCAGCGTTATCAAACAACTTCAATGCAGCATGGCAACAATCTTTAAAACCCATAGTCCTTCATTAGAATGTACCCTTCCATTGTGCCTTTCTTTACAGATATGTCCTTGTAAATACTGTTATTACTTCCAGTTTCAAAAAGGCTCACAAAATAATGCAACAGACTTCACAATTTCTTTGATGCTTGAAGTAATAATGCAGTAACAAAGAGGATGGATACACTTGCATAGGCTTGTATGTAGTACAGAGAAAACATCTGTGCAGATGAAGGTTAGAACTATTTTACTGATCTACTTGGAAGTGCTTGAAGACCACTGTCATGTAACTGACTCCCTGGTGATGGCCTCTACCAACTAACTGCATGTTCAACACCAAACCTGGGCTGCTCCAAAACTAGGCTTCTTAGGCAACTGCTCTGTGGTGGGAAATGCTTGGAAAATTAAAAGCAAGAGATATGATGATATTCCAAAGGAAAGCAGATCATTACAGCCATAGTAGATTCTTGGAAGTGAGCAATTAGCATCTGCTACCTTTAACGATCCTGTAACATGAAACACTGAACAGGCACAGAGCACCAGGCACTTTATGGTACCACATAAATGTACTTTTTTTACTTTAATTTTCTATTGTCCAACTAGTGTAAGACTTCAGTAATTTCTGTTATGTTCAGAGAGGGATTTTCAAAGGCACTGGCCTAATTCAGCTCCCCACCAAAAACAACAAGTTTTACTACTGACTTCAATGAGAAGAAAATTAAACTAGTGCCAAGTGATTTTCAGAAGTCTTACTCAAACCCCAGCCACATAAACACCTGTTATATATTTAATACTTCAAAATTCTGTAGTATTATAAACACTTGCACAGCTGTACACATGTATCTTCATAATAAGATATTAACCTGGTCTTTGGTGAAACTCAGGGGGATAGTCAATCCTTGGTTTCTTTCTGCTGTTATGAATATCATAATCCTCTGGTCGACGCCTACACAAATTAGATATCAGAGATTAAACAAGCTTGTTTGGAGCATTCTTCAGAGCAGCATACTTTCCTGGAGAAAGCCCCACGGGCTGCCCAGGATCTCTGGCTCAAGGTGGGCAGAACTCAGTCCACTTCAGTTATGGTTTCAAACTATCTACAGAAACAAGTTTTAACTTAAATCACCATAAAAGATATTCTGATCTAGTTAGATAGCTAGTGATCCTTTACCATTACTTTATTGTTCTTAACAGATGCTCTCGGTAAGAGGAATTTTATTCAACTATCCCTTAATATCCAAAGAGAATATTTAAGAAGCTAAAACAAAATGAACTCTTAACTTGCACTTTAACATTACATTTTCCACATTCCATCTTAATCTTAGAAAAAAAAATAGACAAAGAAGGCTAATTCTGACTACTAAATCAGTTTCTACAAATATAAATACAGTTGATCTCATTTCCAAGAATAAAGCATCTTTTCCATTTAACATAAAAATTTTGCCAGATTTCTAACTACAGGGCAGACAATTCTTTGTAAAATGAAAATCTTCCTGGACATGTTTTTAAATAAAGGCATGTATGCCTTGCATAATACCTCTTCCACCATTATCTTCCTAACCTGGTAACGGCAAGAGGTACTTTTAAATATTATTATTCAATCAGTGCCTTTGAGAAAAGATTAATTCCAAACTTTTATGCTTCCTAATAAATGAGAAAATAAAAGCTCCCTTCTAAAGAGAGCTGCTTCATTACTGAAGTGTTAAATAATATCCAAGAACTTCACTCAATGAAGAAGCCAATCTTAAGACCAGCTCCATACATCACTAAGCTCATGGTAGAATACAAAACTGGTTATTATTTATCTTGGCGGAATAGAAACTATTATAAAAACTACCCATCACTGTTCAACTTGGATGTTTCAAAACCTTAGGCAAAAACAAGCTTTTCATCAACAAATAAGTATTTATGCCAAATGTTACGTTTCTTTAAATCTATTAACTGCTTTGCAACCATACCCATTAAATAACTATAATAAACAATCCATTTTACTAAGTTTGTTTAGTAGATAATCTTTTTTCCTCCCTCCCTCCTCCCCCCTCATTTTTTAAAGTCCGCTTTAACTGATCTTTTTTTTGTTAAAAAGGAGAGCAGATTCCTCACCCTCTGAGCAAAAAACCCAAGAACAAAGCAGTTGCATCTACAGCAAAATCAGATTAAGAAAAAAATAAAAGCTGGTGTAAAGAATAAACATACCGCTTTCTTGTAGTTTTGAGAGTGCATTTACGACCGGTATAAAATATGATAGTAACAGTTCATTTAGTAGTCCAACTACTGACTTTAAGCTGTAAGCCACAAACATAAATGGAGGCCCTGGCAGGCTTGAGAAGGTGTGGTGGTGTTATATGTATAGTTTGCAGTCCATTGCAAAACCTTCACTGGTAAATACTTTATTGCACTGGAAACCTCTTAGCTTAACTTCAAAAGCCATCTTGGTGCTCAGTCCTTTAAAGCCAAAAAAGGGGGGCGCTGCCAGGTGTCCTCCTACCTACTCGTTACAGTGTCCTTTTTAAGCTCAAGGAAATGGGGACTCTTGTTGGGTATCTGTACCTACCACAGGATGTTTCCACAAAGAGGAAACTTAACCAAAGGTTTCAGCCCAAACCATGCATCAGTCTTTAGCAGAAAAAAACTTTAGATTTATCTGTATGCAAAGTGGCTAGACAGGGAAAAGGTGATTGGTAGAAGGGCTTATATCAGTTCTTTGCAAAGACTTCTCCAACTCTGTACCAAGTTATACCCCCTTTTTCTGGTAAATGCTGTTAAGTTCATAAAGCAGTGATCAATAACCATGTCGATTCTGTAAAAACATTTTAAGTCCACGAGTACTGCCAGCATCTGGAAAGGTTGTATAGCAGACACAGCAACAGCCATTCTTTTTGGTTTGTTGCCGGGTCTCCAAGGGCCACTTGCTTCCCTTTGGAAAGAACCTACTGTTTTCAGAAGCTCAGCAAGATGTGTGAATTCAGTGGTTACATGTTAGAGAATATTTGGCAATGGGGTTAACACATCACGGTGAAACAATTTGAAACAGTCCCAATAATGCTCCTCTTGAATATCAAGATAATTTAAATATTTTATCCTCAAAATGAGGCGGCATCTTCTGAAAAATTATAAGTGATCCTTATAAAAGTCCCATATTTGATAAGGCTTATCCAGAGATACACCTGAAAGAAAAGGCTTTTACAAAATATTAAAACATTTTGGCATATAAAGACTTCCTCTTCCTCCATCTAGCCTGCTCATAAGAAATCCAAGCTTACCTATTGCTAGCATTACATGGTGCATTATCTGCATTAAAGATCTAGTCTAAACTAGAGCACTTTATTTTAAGAACTTTTTTCTGCAAAAGCAAAGATCCCCATTTTCCTCTTGAAAAATGACAGACTGGGGGACAATGTGAAATCCTCAATGAAGCCACAAACTCGTCCATGCAGCTTGATTTGAGGATTTTCTCTCTTCTTTATCGCAGGGAAAGCTTTTGACGAATCACATTCCTCCATCACGTTATTCTGATACATGTGCCTACTATCAGTCCAAAGAACGTTTCTAACCTTCCCACATCCCGGACTGGTTCTCGACGGGATGGACGTCCTCTTGATCGGGGCTGTGAATGCATTCTTCTCTTGTGCCTCATTTTATGAATGACTTGATACAAGTCAATACTTTCATCAGGAGGGAATAGGAGACAAAGCTGGGTTCCACATTCAGGCTCAATTTCCTAGAATTGGTTAGAAGTTGAACAGTGATCGACAAGCTGAAGACAGGGAACACTTCCCATTAATTACTTTCCCAAGACACAGAAACACCACCACTTTGAAGAGGCTTCAATATCACTAGAAACTGAGAGCACATCACAGTTAGGTTACCTTTTACTCTGTGGGGTCTAATTAACATATTCACAGAATCATCTTACACTGGGACAACATGTTCCTAACGACATTCAAGTCAGGCTGCTGCTTTGCTAAGTGAGAGTGGGAGGAGCGTTTTGTAACCAATTAAAAAATGTGTACAAATTTGTGATCAATTAAGAAACAGTCATCACCACCTAAAGAGTCTGGATTATGTGGACAAGAATCCATGTGCAGGGATACACAGTTAGGTTATGCACAATTAAGCATTCTCCAAATTCAGTGGAATAACCGTAAGTTGGTTTGGAAGGTGCTTTTAATTTGTCTAGATATTGTATACTATGGTTCTTGTAGCAAGCTGCAGAATGGACAGCTAACTTGAGACATGTTTTAATTACACATTACCAGTATTCTGGAATATTCCCTCCAAAAGGTTCAGCACTTCATATAAGCACTGTAAAGCGGCTTGACTGCAATGCTATATGTAGTTAGGTGGACAGAAAAAAAATGTAAACACATTTCTTAACCATTTAAATGGAAACTGTCAACAATAACCAGTTAAACTTCCTTCAAGTAATTTTAACCAAAATTAAAAGCTCACTTTCACTGTTCAAAGTCACTGACATATAAAAATATGCCTAGTCATATCTGCTTCTTTTAAAATTACTTTTTTCTCCCTGTTCTCCAGACAACTGCAGTGTCTACATCCATCTTACTTCAAGGAGTATTGCTCCCACTTTCCTGTTAATAACCACTATGCAGAAGAGTTGTTTTTTTTCCAGTTAGTTTGTGCTGATCTTGTAAAGTATTTTTACACAGACTTCATTACTGGAGTTGACAGTGTCCATTTAACCGAATTATAGTATGTATAGCTGAATCATTAGCTTCCGTTTAAAAAGTGTAAATACAATAACAGAATCTGTATCACCCCTCCACCCCCTCAAATTTATGCCAAATCCAGCATATAAAACTGTTCAGAACAAACTCAAAAGCACAATGCTCTAACATATGGGCTCTTTCTGGATTGAGAACACAATAGAAAATGTTAGTGACCTTCATCTGTTATAAAAAGCTAGTCTTCACCAGGTGCTGCAAGTCTGAGCCATTGTGATATGACTTACTGTGTTGTTTTTTTCCTGCACTGCTCTCACCAGTGTTGTAAGAAATCAAATTTGCTGACATATGCTCTTACCAATAAAATCTATACCACAAGAACTCAAAAGGTACAAGAACCCCAAAGTTTTCAAACCTCTGACTACATTTCCTACTCATTATTTTTGTTTTACTTTAAAAATAAAGACAATGTTTAAAAATTAACAAACCTGTCCATCGCGTCCAATCTTTACTGGTTTATGTTCATTCCAAGGATTGGTCAGGTGAGCAGATTTAGTGAAGGGTAATTCACGCCTAAATATGCAAGTGGTATCATTTATGGTTTTGTCTTCTTGTTAAAAATGCATAGAACAGAACATTGCATCAGTACAAATGTATAACTCTTTGTACTATGACAGGACCCTGAATGAATATTTTAAAGATTAGTCTCTCAAGAACTTTTTTTTTTTAATTCTGATATTTTTATTTAATTTTTATTTAAATAAATTTAATTTTTTATTTAATTTGGCATTATGCAGTTCATGATAAGCAAACCTATTCTATATAGACAACAAATTTGTATATAATCAAAATTCATACAAGAACCAAAATTCTGTTGTGCCATACTTATAAAAACTTGAGACTCAGCACAACTTCAAAAAGCCTACCCTCTGTTATTTCACACCACATACAAAGAAAAGACTTATCGCTATCTTTAACACCAACATAAACTGTGACAATCAAAATGTCAGTGAATACAACTACCTAGATTTACCTGGGGAAATGTTAAATTACTGATTTATTTTTATAAAGAATCCCTTAGAAGAAACATACTCCTACAATTAACCAATACACTTGGTACCCTGGGCTGCAAGTATTAGTTTTAAAACACCTCCTAGGTGGTCCCTCCAGGTTCCTAGCATTTCACATGCAATAGGAACATCTATTCCATCCAAAGCTGTGAGCATGATACATTTACATAAGTCACTCCATTCTGAATAAAGGCACAAAATGAGATAGGTATACCTATGTGCCAGTAAAATATGCTCACGTATTGACACCTCTAGTCAATTTTGTCTTGGGGTAGCTGTTTCTTCAATGGAAGTAATTACTACTTGCTCCCTGTCACTTAATGGGAAAACACTGTTATACCACCAACTATTGTAGGCAGCTATCTTGGAAGGACTGTCTGCTCAGACACTAGTATAATTTATACTGATGGGTGGACTAATAAGTTGCGTCACTATATAAATGTGTCATGTCCACATCCTAAGATATATTTTCTATACCTCCCAATTTGGACTTTATTTTCAATGATTCTGAGGCAGCTGCATTTTATTTACTTAGCCAAAACCTAACAGATCTGATTAAGGACAACTCTACAAAATCATAAAAAACCTCCTCTTTAATTATTCTTTGTTCTCCAGGGCTGACAGACCAGAATCACAGAACAAACAGTCATTTTAAGAGGCGAAATGATAGTTGGGAACAAATGCCAGTTTGTACTCTCAGCATGTTAAGCCAGTGAAAAAAAATGAAACACATGAAATTCCTCATTTACAACCATTAAGAGTCAATGCAAAAAAAAAAAATTGCTACAGCAGTCTCAGTTATGGGAATAAATCCCAAAGCCAGTAAGACAGAGCCCCCTCTCTTAACCAGAGATGAATTTTCAAAGCAACCTAGTCAAAAACCAGTCCTAAAATGATGGTTAGAAAAGCAAATGGAATTTAAATACCTTGCTAGACACAGTACAAAAACTTTTAAATGAACAAAATCACTTGCCTGCAAATCCAGTCAATTTTAAAGACTCCTCCCAACATTTTTGCATTCATTCCTGCAGGCAGCACCCAGTGTATAGGTGATCCTCCATGATGGGATTCAGATGAGAGCCTTGCAAACCCTAAAAGAAAAAGAAAAAAAAGCAATCAACACACATTGTAACAATGGACAAGAAAAAAAACCTAATTTTACAGCCAAACATCGCCTTCACTTACCTTGGAATTTACCACTCTCTCTCACTGAGAATATCAAGATAACACTCCTTGCTGATCGAAATGCAGCATTGAGCTTCTTTTCGTTTACTGGAAGAGTTGACCACACGCCCTATCGAAAGAATAAGGGAAATGTACATTGGTTAAACACTACAAGCAGCTGTATTAAATTTAAAATTTATTTAAAAAGGTAGCAAGTAATAATCCTAGTGTTCTGGGAATAAGTAATGAGGGCAATCTATGTCTCTAGATTGACAGTGACTAGTTCTCCAGCTAAAAAGTTACGAAAGTCAGCTTTCACAAAAGAACTTAAAAAGCATTCAGGTTTTTTGGCTTTGGCTTCAGGTTTGAGCCTTTAAGACACACTTATGCATCTTTATGCTTTTCTCTAGAGCCATGACAGCTTGAAGCTTTATTGTAAAAATTAAGTATGAGATTACCATATAAATTATGTGAGTTGTTGTACTTAAAGCCTCAAATCCTAACCAGAAAAATTCACGAGAAAAAAAAAAAAATCACAAGATTTGCCAACATGGGAAGAGGAAAGCGAAAGAATACTGCAAGAGGAATGGCTGGTCTGCAAACTGGTTTTCACTGTGTACTTCAGTGAACAAATACTGCACATTGAAGATACTAGCTTGTCCCCAAGTCACTGAAGGATGTACACAGAGGGACAACGTAACAACTTGAAATAATAAAGGATGAACATGCTGTTGCCAACTCCAACATGGAGAATGAAGACATTAAATATGGCTTTTCTTTTTTTCTCCCCTCTTCCATGTAAGATGAACACAAATGGACTTTTTAAAACAAAAAAGTACTGTGTACTCACCTGCAGCTTTAGACCAGGCCCACAAGTAACATGCATAACTAAAACATTTTAAATTTTAAGCACTGTTGAATGTGTGTTTACCTCTTCAATCTGTTTTAGCATGATTTTCAAAAAAGACCCCTGCCCTATCCTAACTGGATAATGCTGCGACAATGTTTTCTTAGATTTTCTTTCCAAATTACTGCTAACTCAACATGAAAATACAAATGGCCTATTCATACTCTGTAAGCAAAAAGGTGGCTCAGATACCTCTATAGTAGTACCACTTTTTAGCCAGAAACAGGACGCACAATAACTTTGCTATGCAGCTTTAAGCAGATAATACAACCACAGAGCAGATATTTCTGTGCTCCTCTGACTTATCTGTCGTAACAGGGTGGAATATGAATTGCCCTTTAAGGGATATATGGAAATCTCAAAGCAACTGATGGCTTCAGAAGCCACAGTAGTAAAGATTCTATTGTCAAGAATAAACAATCCAGCCAAATGAGGTACACCTGCTTCACAATTAAATGGAGAAACACATGTAGATGGACACACAAATATACAATGACACAAAAGTGTCCTTCTTATGGAAAGCATTAAGAAGGCTCAAACAATTTCTTTGGGAACAGCCTTTTCCTCCTGCCAGACACATAACACAGCTATAACCCAAACAGAATTACAACTGATCTCTGTTAAATAAACTTATCAGGCAAGAAAAGCTGCTGAAGAGGAAAAGCCAAGCTTCAGTGTTTTAGACATCCCGCTTTCTGATTTGGAACATCTAGTTAAAGTTAATTTAAACCCAAATTTTATTGTTCTACAGCTTGAAGCATCTACTGTACACCTAATTATAGGGCAAGTAACCAAAGTATTCAAAGGGTAATTGAAAGCTACTGTATCTGAATACACAAGAAACCCTCAAAAATCAACAGAAACTGACACACTAGGAACATTTATCAGTACAGGAACTGTGCATTTGCTTAGTATACTCAGTAATCAAAAATTAGACACTGGACACTGTTAGCTGAGTTCATGAAATTCTGGCAGCGTACCATGTATTTCAGATGTAGAAACCACATCTTTTTGATATGTAAATTTCTTGTAGCAACTCAAATATTGCTGAAAATAGCCTTCCACTTCAAATTCCTCTGTCCCTATATTTTGGAACAAATTGTTAAAGACCAACAGCCTAGATTTCTCTTGCCAAATTTAGGACTATGTCCTAGGCATAATGGCATCAGCAGAAGAATTCAGTTTCATACTTATTTCTCTATGTTAACTGCAAGTGATCAGAATTTCTAGCATGATGCTAAACAGGAATATTCAGAAACCAGAATCTGGCTGCAGCTTCCTAGTGAAGTTTACCATTGCAGAAGTACAACATTCAACATCAGCAGAGCCTACTCTGATGCCACTGTCACACCAGCTACCCTCTCAGTTTAAGAAAGTCTCTGCAGTGGGGAAATATTGCTTCACTTCTCTGGAACAGAATCAGTGTCTATAGATACACGTGCTGGTTCACATTTTAATTAGAACGCTCCAGCATTGCCTTGCTGTCACATATATAATCCCCTGAACATTATAAAGTGACCATGGGGGTACTTTACCTAAATCTCATTGAATGTGGTTTAGAGAGTGTCCTGTGGCCATTTTTAAATGTGTGGGGGCTTAATACACGTGACAGCAAGGCATTTTAATTAGAGTGGCTCTCTGGGAGCCATTCTAAGTAATATACCCCCATCCCCAAGCACCTGTATAGGCAGCCATAAATAGGTTAGAAAGGACCTCAAAGAGATCACTTAGTCTGATCTTCAGAATCTACAGCCAGATGGCATAAATTAAGGACAGTCAAGGGGCTACTCTAATTTGCACTGGGTGGGGCCAGAACCTCACTTCAATAATTATGAAGCAAACAAGAGCTCCACGTTCTCCTGACCCAAGAGCTACTCAGCACAAAAGAAAATCTGGATGACAGTATGCTTCATTCCCCAAACAGCAAGTTTCTTAATAAATCAGTTTCCAAGCTGGTTTAAACATACCTTGGCTTTGGCAAGTGAGACATTTTCATGGTTGTTACTCTTGATGAGAAAAAATCTTGCATCTTGGAGAATATATTTAAGTTTACTGGTTTGGTCTGAAAAAAAATTCCAAATAAGCTGAAGTTTAACTTTTGAAGTTTTTCCTTCAAAATGTGGGCATGGGTTTTTTACGACAAATTTATCCCTCCTGATCTATACCTAGATCAGGAGTCAAGCCCCTTCCCCCACCCCCAACCTGAATGCTGAAATCTAACCCACAGAGCATACAATGCCAAGCTTTTCTTAAAAATAAGTAAATAAATAAGTAAATAAAGTTTTAATACATCACACACACAAAGATAATTATTATTATTATTATTAAAAAAACAATAAATCAATATTTCAGTAAGGTTCCAATATACTTGCACTCTGGCTTATAGAGGTACTGCAAAACATTTGTATAATTAAACTTTGATGAGAGTACCTATTTAAAAAAAAGTTTCCTTTCTCAAGTACAAGCATCTCTTTTCTGCTTTGTTGCTTCTGTAAGAGAATCTGATTGATGTCTGTGCAGCTCTTTAAAGATATGCAGAAGTAAATCAAAATGATGCATCGCTGTTTATACCCGCAACAATCAAGCATTCAAATTGATTTATATTGGAACATTACCATTTTGACGCAACTTAATGAACAAACAGACAATGGCATGTGATGGGCCATGCATTAAAAATTCAAATTTAAATGATACCTTTTTGGACAGCACGAACGGAAGATGATAATTTCTCATGCTTCTTTTCTGAACCTGTGTTTAGCCAAAGTACATTTGTTCAGATTGAGCCTTAATAGAGATAATATACAATTTCTACAGCCTTGTCACATACAATTTTCATTCATGACAAATTATTCTTCCTGGCGCGCACCCACACACAAAAAAAACACTGTTCAATGTGCACGAGTGTTTTGTTTTGATTTTTTGGGAAGTTTGGTTTGGGTTTGGTTTTTCATATTTATTATCTGAACAGTTTCCTACTCAGAAAACTAGTCACTGAATCATCATCTTCCAAGTTTGAAAAAAAAAGTGAAAATTCCACTTAAGCAACAAAATAGCATTAAACAAGATGCCTACTTCCCCCAAAATTATCCACACAGAACATGCCAGAAATCAAATCAAATACCAAATAATCAAACTACATACCCCACATATTTCTACAGCCAGTTACATTTCTCTTAGTTATCACATTAAGAGTCAAAGTCAGTCAGTATGACAAGCAACAAAAAGAAAGAATACCTGCATAAGATTCTGATGCAGAACTTCCACTTCTATCAAAAACAATTGGAGAGATACCTCTAGCTCTCTTCCTTTCCTTCTTTTTCTCATCTAAAAACCCCAGAGAACAAATAGTAGTAGTATTGTAAACGTCACACACCAAAAGATAAAGCTGAGATGAAAGTACTGACAGTAGGCAAACTGTATCCACAATGACAAGACTGATATTTGGCTTTTACAAGAAAAGTTTAGTTACTATGCTAACACTTCCCCAAAAATATGACACTTAAGAGGTACTGCCACCAATTCACAAAAACTAAGCTCATGAAGGAAAAACAAACACCAAATGTTTGAGAATTCTATGCAAAGATACATAAGTAATTCACTGAGTTTGGAGTATTTTAGTTCTTCTCTCCAATGTGTTAGCCAAATTTTCAGTGACATACTTAATAGGAATTATACCATGATCTGTAACACTGCTTCACAAGTCCATTGAAAATTAGTCAAGCAGTAATAGGAATTAAAACAAAACACTGTGGCACATAGTAAATAGTGACACCCTTCCCCAGCCCCTTCAAAGAGTTAAATTATTACTTCATAGCATTTAAAAAGTAATTACAGCTTTCCCTTTCTTCTAGAGTTCCTCTAGACTCCAAATATCAAGGCTGGTTCACCTTACCTGCATCCAAGTTATTTAGAAGAACCATCCATGCACCTTTCAAATAAGGAAGCTACAGGATAGGAATCTAACAGGACTGTTTTGTTGTTTTTTTACCAAATCCAAAGCTAATGTGATGATATGCTCTGTTTAGCAAGCCAAAGTCATATTAGAATAACCTTTTCAGGATTTGGTCTAACCTTCAAGTCTACTCATACTAGGACAAGCACATATGTCTACACTTGACCAAAAAGGCTATTTGAAATTCTGTGGGCAATTTGTATTCATGAAGCAAAGCACCAGTAGGACAGGTGAGAATCAGGCACAATGCACAACTGCAAAGAGCTGTTATAGGACTCGTTTCAGTCCCATTCTCCCCATTTGCCTAGTTACAGGCTCCTCTTGATTCCTGGTCTTTCCAAATTGTGTGGCAGATCTCTAAAACGAGACAATTACATATGAACTGGCCATACTGAACAGCACATCCTCCATTATCTGAACAGCAACTTTGTTTTACCAATTTGTTAGTATTGGTTTTGTAACAAACACTTTTTAACATCTACTGTATTTAACACCTGCACTGTCAAGTCTGTATGGTTTTGAATTATTCATTGTGTGTTAGCATGCATAACTCCCCACAACATGCTGCAATTTCACTTATCTGAACCAGTTCAGCTATCCAAAAGACTTCAGAAAGTGCTTTCCAAAGGGATTAAACAACCAAGGATGTACTGCAGTAACCATTTCTCCAAAGACAAAAGCTACTGTATTAACCTGACTACCTGGCCATCTAGATTTATATTGAATAGCTCTCCCATCAAATGTTTACATTCAAGTGAAGCTTTGCAGGGAGAACCACCAAAAGTTGTTGATTACAACAGTTTTAGGTGTTAAAAATAGAAAAATGATAACAAAGTTTATCTACAATAATTTGATCCGGTAGTGGTAAGTGACTTCCAGACAAGCCTTAGTGCAAGTCAGAAGCGTTCCACTGTCCTGCCTCAGGCTCAAAGCTTAGGTTCCTTTCAGAAACACCAGCCAAAAATCAAAGGAAAAGCCTGAGTCAAAAACAAATGTTAAATCTGAAATATTAACAGACTTTAAAACGGGGAAAGTCTTATCTACAACTAGTCTAAGAAAGGATTTACCTGATGCATCTGAGCCAGAACCAGATCTGACTGACCCATCTGTGAAGGATGCAGATTCAGAATCAGAATCACTGGCTTCACTTCGAGTGTCATAATCATTTCCCTCCTTCTGATCTCTTTCATCTTGTTCATATTCCTCTTCGTCCTCTTCCCCATCTTCTTCCACCTCCTCATCTTCCTCTCCTTCCTCATCTTCCTCTTCCTCCATTCCTTCCTCCTCATTCTCTGTGTTTCCTTGATCAGAAGAGCCACTGCTGCCAGTCTCATGATCCGAACCATATTCTTCAGAGTTCACCTCGTCTTTAGAAGAATGGCTGGATCTGCTTTGCCTTCTGTCCACATCATGCCTAATTCTCTGATGTTTAAAGAAAAAGAGAATCAGCAGTCATAAAACATTATTAGGATGCACACACAGTCCCAAGAGAATGTGCCTTATAAATGTCTCAAAGAACTGCTTTATTTCTAAGGCTGCAAAAACTTTTACTACCTCTGAACCATCTGGCGTAGAGGACTTTGCCCTTCTGTCAACATCCCTCTTCCTCATGCAAGTTTTTTCAGGTTGCCCTTTATAAAGCTCCCTTGTACTGCCACTTGACATGCGTGCCTTTCGATCACCATCTGGACGCTTGCTTCTGTCAGACCTCTGATACTCTTCTGTCTTGTACTCTGCTACAGGCTTTCCTTTTGTACTCACTATCCTCTTATTATTGCTAACTGATGAACTAGGTGGCTTTAGAATCATTTGCCTTGATGAATGCACCGATGGCTTTTGTCTTTTGCTTTCAGCAGTCTCCATCCTGTCATTTTTTCTTTTTGATCCTTAAATTAATAAAAATAAATAAGTTATTTTACGCAACAGGTAAAAACAAAGTAAAAAACTCCCCACCCCACCCCCGCAGCAACTGGTATTACTCTTCCTTGAAGTGATCTTAGTGACTGTCATTTTTTTCATTTTTTTCCCCCCCAATCAATAGTTTGTTACAATTCCCATCAGTTTCTCAGGCAGGTTTGTGTTTGTAAGCGTTGTAAGATAGGGGAATTTGAAATGCAAAGATTAGGGCCCAGCCCAACGCCACACAAGCCACTGAACAGCTGGAATGAAGACCTGCCTTGCTCTTAGGCTTGCCTTGGTTTACTAGGGGAAAATAAGTTTATTTACATAAATGACTTTCTAATGAGGTTTATTTGAAGAATGCCAACATTGAACATGTATTCTTGGTGCACAGAACTCAATGTAATGTTTAAGGTTAGATTATATTGTTGAGGCACAAAATCTTTAATGGACTCTATTGTTGTTTGCCAACTATAATAATCTGTATACAGTAAAATTTGGTAAATTACTTTTTTACAATGGCATCTCTGAGGAATATCCACCTACCCTTTTTTTCATTTTTATCTTGTTCACTATCAGGGTTATAGAGCTCATCATCTTGGTCAGGAGCATCAGTTAAAATGTCATCCAGAACATTCAGTTCACCATCTGGGGAGAAAAAAGAAAAAACACATTAAGTCACAAATACTACTGACAATCCATCTGAAGTCGTTCCCTAAAACAATGACTGTTTATAGCAAGTTGGAATGTCTACAGTGTTACTATGCATACTAAGACACTGACAGTCCAATGAAACAATAGGTTTCCAATTTTTTCCCATAACTTCAGTGTGAAGCATCAACAAAAGTTAGTGAAAGAATAAGACAACCACAGATTGAATATGGGCATTATATGGTCAAAGTTCATCTGACTTCTGTGGCATAGCTGTTGACAAAAAAAAGACAGATTCTGGGCCTTAGGCTAACAACCACGGAAATAGTAAGTTCCTAACAGAACAGTTCTGCTATTTTAATGAGTCTGAGGAGGAGTTCATAGGCAGGTGGTCTTGCTGCTGTTACTAAGAAGTGTCCAGACCACTGGATTCCTTACTGTAAAATAATCAAGAGCTGTGACATTCATTGTGCTAGTTCCAGGGAAGATAATTCAAAAGGTTTCCTTTTGGTAGCATGTATCATGCTTTGCCCAGATCCTCACTGTCACTCACGGATATCTGCCCCAGGAGATATAGAAGATAAGATGCATCAGGACTGCAACTGAATCTTGCAACCAGATATTCCACCTCGTGCCTGAAGCAAGCCACAAAGTATGAATGGTTTAACCATAATCAGGTGTAGAGACCAAAATATTTATGTACTGATCAGTTTCCAGGAGCCCCCCACTGCAGAGCAGGCAGGGGATATGTGGCCAGGGCAGGGCTCCTGAGGGAAAAGCAGCAGAGCTGAGTGCCCTGAGCAGGGGCGGTGCTAGGGGGAGTTTGGGCACTATAGCTACGCCAAAATTCACCTTAGCCCCCCGAAGCCACCCCTCCCAGTGCCACCGGCATCTGCCCCACACAGCTGAGCCCATCCCCAACACTGGGAAGAGGCTGGTGCTGCCCTGGTCCCAAGCCCAAGCCCAAAGCGGGCAGCCTGCCTCCACCCTGTACACAAATCCAGGGGGGCACATGCCTCCACTGGGGGTGCATGCATTGGCAGGGGCCACCCCTCCTCTGGACAATGAGCTATTAGATAAAACTGCCAAAAATCCCCACTGAAGTGCAATCTATACAGACTTTGTGTAAGCTGGGTCAAACTAGCATGATATCTCTTCAGGGCATGCACCACGCTCAGCGTGGGGACATGCCAAGCTATGGTTTTATGAAAAATAAATATCATTTACACTTACATGTGTTTTTAAAATATACATGTGTAACACACGCCCCCACCCCAAAGGTCAAGCATGAAACGATAACATGCTACCCTAAGGTCTAACTTACTCTAAAACTCATTTGAATGATAATAACAACAAAAAATTAGGGGTGCACCAATAGAGATTTTTGGCTGATAGCCAATATTTAAGGAGGCATATCGACTGATACCAATCTGATTTCCAATACAGCCACCTTCAGCTGGTAAGTCTGGTGTGGTGAAAGGGGCAGGGAAGGGGCATGGGAGTGCAGATCAATGCCCCCAGCGGTGAGGAACGGGGCAGTGGCAGGCTCTGTCAAGGTGGGGGAAGGTGGCTTCTGCTCGCACACTGGGAGGGCATAGGGGGCATGTCCCCCTGGATCTGTGTGGGGTTGGGCAGGCTGCAGCTAGAGCCATGCAGGGCTCTTCTCAGCGGGGGCTGGGCTCAGAGTGGGCGCCCACAGTGGTGGGAGGAGGCTGCATCCACCCCATATTTCTCTGCAGCTCCACTCCCAGTGCCACTGTTGCCAGCCACTCAGCGCAGCCTTGGCTCAACGCCCTGCCTCCGTCCATTTGCCAGTAAGAGCTGGGGCAGTGCCAGGCAGTGGCAGTGCTAGGAACTGAGCTGTGGTGAAATTTGGGGTGGATGCAGCAGCCTCTCAGTGCCACTGGCACCTACTCTGAGCCCAGCCCCCACCAAGAAGAGCCCCATGCAGCCCCAGCTGCAGCCCACCCCACCCCACCCCATGCAGACCTGGGGGGCACATGCCCCCTCATCCATCCCCCAGGGCCTCCTGGGGTGCAAGCAGCAGTGGGAGCCGCCCCTCCCCCAACCCTGCCTGGGTAGCACCTGCCCCTGCCCCCTCCCTCACCACTGGGGGCACCGATCTGCCCTCCCCATGCCTCTTCCCTCTCCTTTCACACACCGGATTTACCAGCTGGAGGCAGGGAATATAACTACAGTGCAAATGGCAACAAAGGTTAGAAATGATGATTTAAAATAAAATGAAGTGTTTTTAGCTTGCCAATTTAAATTAGTAATTTATAAACATGATTTAAGTCCACCCTGGATAATCCAACAATAGCCACGCACTTATTCTCTGACTAACACTGGTATTCCAATTCCTATGTCCCATCCAAATTGGGCACCGAAGGCTAAATTCCACATTTCAAGACTAAAACAGCAATCTAGTTGCACACTGAAATAGTAGCCGTTTCAGCAGCATTTTGAAAGATCAAGGGGGAGGGGGAGAAGGAAACAAACACATTAGCCCATCAACTTCAGCAGAACAAAGTGAGACTTTTCCAGAACCCTAGTTTCAGGGGGGGAAAAAAATCATGCCAAACAACCTCTTGCCATATTCTGAATGAATAGCACCTCATGTCTGCCATGCACAGACCTACAGTCTGTATTGTAAGTAAATTCAAAGTGTAGTCCATATAGTCAAATACAATCCATTGCATCTTCTGAATTTTCTTTAAACCATTCCTTCCTTCCTGCATCTTGTGCTTTATAACAAAATAGTTCTTCTGTTAATGACACATGCAACTAAACAATAAAATTATCTATACCATAACCATTTTTATCACGTGTTTCTCAAAAACACAAATAAACATATGCCCCCTCTATGTTTTTGTGCAAGACATAAGCACCACTCAGATTCCAAGCAGAGCTGGAAAAAATTTTGAGAGCTCAGAGGTTTGTCCGGTCTTAGACAGTTGCAGAGACTTTAATAACTAAACTTGAGACTGAATCACATTTTACTCTCACTTGTTTAAAAATACCTTCCCACTTTTTGTATGTTCAGTGAGTCCTATGGGAAAGACCTGGAAACAAAAGCCTCACAAAGCATTTAAAAATTAAAACTAATTTTACCACCAACTTCTCTACTTTGTAAGAAAACCCATGGTTAAAAAGTATGCATAGCTGTAGAAATTAAGAAATGCTAACACACCAATCAGTTAAAGAAATGACAATAACAGTCCTATTATCTGGCTGTACTGTTATCAGAGACAGGGAGTTAAAAAAAAATGGTTTTATGTCACATTGAAGATACCCTTTGCAGGTGACCTGAACTACATACACAGGACTACATACACAGGACTACTGACCAGGCATACCAACCACACTTTTCCTTAGAGCCTGGGAGTTATATAAAATAATGCTAATGACAAATTCTACTGCAATTAAACACTGTAACAAGAAAGAAACATAACTCAACACTCTGTTTGCCAGACACCTTTGGGGTAAATACACTGCTCCAACTTTTACCCGAGCCTAACTTGCAGAAAATGAAAAATGAACTTTCCCAGGCAAGAGATCTTACACTGCCCTCCTGTAAAATATGAATTTTCATTTCTACCTGGGAGAAATTTTACAATTTTTGCATTCCCCTATGCCTGAGGAAGGGCACGTGCCCTCAAAGCTTGTAAAGAAAGAGTCGGGGGGGGGG